TGTCATTTTCCTGATTTAGTGCAGATTTGCATACCTGTGGAATGTATATGAGCCCCTTCTAGCCATTTTATACTTTCAGTAGTGAATTGAGGTATATGCTGTGTTTTTAAAGCATTTTTATAAATACTCTTACTTGTTTTTCTTTTTTGGGGAAATTGTGGAATCACTGTTTGTTGCTCTTTAACTTGAAAGGGGGCACAGAGGATACACATTTTCAGCTGAAGCAGTCTTCTCTCTCTGGTGCTCTTATAATATCTCATCAACACCTGCAGAGAGGGTCTGGGGTGAGGATGACTCAGAATGGCAGCCAGAGAACACAGGAAGCTGAGTTGTACTCTTGCCAGGAGCAGGGTTTGGGACAGACGCAGCCTCTGGCCCAGGTGGGCCCTCAGCAGCGCCCTCTAGAGGCTGTGCAGGAGTGCAGTGTGGGTCAGCCTTGTACTCACTTTGTGCAATCAGTGGATTCGGAGGAGGAAGCTGCCAAGCTGGAGGAAGAGCCCTACCCACAGCAACAAATAATTGTGGAGGTGAATCTCAACAATCAGACTCTCAGTGTCTGCAAGGGGGACAAGTTGGCTACCCCCACCGGGCCTCCTTCCCAGGACCGTGTCTCTGTGGTAGAGGCGGATTGGGTGAACCCTGTGGATGAGGAGCAGCAGAGCAAAAGGAGATATCGCAGGAGATGGACAGCAAAGGACTTAAAGACCAGCAGAGCTTGGGAGGCTGATATGTCACACCCCACAAGGGGGAGCCAGAGGGCTATTAGTATTACACGTTCCTTCTCAATGACGCTTGGCCAGCAGAAAGCTGGGGAGCAGCTTGAACGGATGCAGCTGTCACCCCAAGAACCCCAGAGGGCGCTGTTCATGCCAACACCCACCAACTCCAGCAAGTGCCCCCGCACCTTGAGCACCTCCAGGTCTGAGCAGAAGTATGGGAGCATCGTGCACCAGCACATGCATGTCTGCAACAAATGCAATAAGAAGTTTATGCTGGATAGCGAGCTGGCCCTGCACCAGCACACAGATTGCGAGAAGAACATCCAGGTATGGCCTCCTGTGTCTGTCATATTAAAGGGGCAGTACACCCAAATACAGAAAAAGGTATGTTTTAGAGGGACTTTAGAGCTATCAGTCCATCTAGGTTGCTACGCTGGGAGGCCGTAGGAATGTCAGTCTTCTCTTGAATATATCGGGAGTGAATGACATTCTTTCTTTGGTGATTAAATCACCAAAAAAATACATTTAAAATATTCAACAGCAATGTCTCTTACCAGAAATCATGACCCAGTTACTCAAGATAATTCTCAGACTTTGTACTGAGCAGTTAAATGTAGGAACTATTCTCTTCTATGGAACTCACCAATCGATTCACACACCGATCGTATAACTGCATAGAAGATACAAGCACGGGCACGACGGCGATATCTTTTGTGCAGTGATATGATTGGTGGGTGGAGTTCCATAGAAGAAAATGGTCTTTTCTCTTAGTGTAGGAACTGACATTTCTACAGCCGACATCTCCATTTGGGGTCACTTAGAAATTTCCTTGCTTTTGAAAAAAAGCACGTTTTTTTGTCCATTACAATGACATCAGATTGATCAGAAATACTGTGTAGACATTGTTAATGCTGTAAATGACTATCATAGCTGGAAACTCATAGCTGTTTTTTAATGGAATATCTACAGGAGTACAGAGGCCCATTATCAATAACAATTAGTTCTGTGTTCCAGTGGAATGTTGTGTTTGCAAATGCAAGTTTATCATTTTAAAAGGTTAATTGATCATTAAAAAACCCTTTTGCAATTATGTTAGCACAGATGGAAATTGTTGTGCTGATTAAAGAAGCAATAAAACTGGCCTTCTTTGGACTAGTTGAGTACCTGAAGCATCAGCAATTGTGGGTTCGAAGCTCGAAATGGTCAGAAACAAAGAACTTTCTTTAACTCATCAGTCTATTCTTGTTCTGAGAAATGAACGTTATTCCATGCGAGAAATTAACCAGGAAACTGAAGATCTCGTACAATGCTGCGTACTACTCCCTTCACAGAGCAGCGCAAACCGGGTCTAACCACAACAGAAAGAGGGGAGGGAGGCTCCGGTGCACAACTGAGCGAGAGGACAAATATATTAGAGTGTGTAGTTTAAGAAACAGACGCCTCATAGGTCTTCAACTAGCAGTTTCATTGAATAGTACCCACAAAAGACCAGTCTCACCATCAACAGTGAAGAGGCAACTCCGGGATGCTGGCCTTCTATGCAGAATTACAAAGGAAGAAAGAAAAAGCCGTATCTCAGAATGGGCAATAAAAAGAATAGACTGAGATGGGCTAATGGTATTCTGTGTATAATGGAGTGACCAGCACAGTCATCGGATCTCAACACTGTTATGGGAGCAGCTTGATCGAATGGTGCGTAAGAAGTGTCCATCAAGCCAATCCAGCTTGTGGGAGATGCTTCTGGAAGCACAGGGTGAAATCTCATCCGATTACCTCAGTAAACTGGCATCTAGATTGTCTTTGACAAAAGCAAAGTTTGAAGAACATAATTATTTTAATTTCAAAAATGATTATTTCTAATATTTCTAATTATTTCTCTGTCAATGACTATTTCCTATTTATTTGGCTATATTTCCTATTCAAACCCATTTCATGTATGTTTTCATGGAAAACAAGGACATTTCTAAGTGACCCCAAGTTTTTGAACGGTAGGGTATATTTTTCAGTTTTGAGGTTGAACACCCCTTTAACCTGCAGAGCTCTACTTTATTCGGGGACCCCCCCCCCATTTAAGAAGACCATATGTATTGCTGCTTCATTGCTAATTTTTCACAGCTTCATACCAATGTGATCAGTAAGCGTAGTTTTGTTTTGCCAAAGAGAATGGGCACCACTGTTGAACGGACTGCAGGTTCCTTGGCCTTGTGTAGACCTAAGCCTGCATTGTTGGTGTCTGATGCAGAAGCTGGGTAGGGTTCCCCTAGCAAGGCTCTCAACACTCAGTAGGTCCTAATGCTCAGAGTTCATGCTAACCAAATAGAGATGGGGTGGCATACCTTCACCACCATAAGAAGTGGTTCATGACTAAACCGAGATGTTTCCATGTGATAAGTTGTATAAGTGACATGTGGAAACAATGCCTTATGTTTGATGGTAGAGGGCAGCACAGATTCACCCATAAACAGTATATCAAGACCTTTTAATAATAAGACATTTAATTTGTAGTAGAGGCATCTTATTTGTTTGAATTAATGTAATAAGATTTATGAAAAATTCTACTTAGGTATTGTGACCAAAGGCATAATGCTGTTATGAAAAATAAACTTTTAAACTTGATATGAATCAGATGATGCAATAGATCAGGGGTCTCCAACTCCGGTCCTGGAGAGCTACTATCCAGTAGGTTTTCTATCCTACTTGGCATCTGATGAGCCACACCTGTTCCTGGTATTTACCTGAGAACAGGTGTGGCTCATCAGAAGCCAGGTAGGATTGAAAACCGACTGGATAGTAGCTCTCCAGGACCGGAGTTGGAGGCCCCTGATCTATTGCATCATCTGATTCATATCAAGTTTAAAAGTTTATTTTTCATAACATTATTTTATTGGGCCCCATCTGTTTAACTGAATCTTCTGTAAAGGACAGACTTGATTTCTGGTAGTGAGTGTCCTTACCTTCAATCTTGGGCCAGGGTGACCAGATAATCTACTGTATGTCAAGGAAAGAACTAGGAGATACTTGAGGTTTTACAAGCTACTTTAAAACTGAAAGGCTCCCATGCTTGGCTAAATAGTTAACTTCCTCTTGCGCTTTCATCTGTTTTGTTGATTGAAAGACCCATCCAGCTGTTTAACATTAGTGACGTGTGATTATAGAAGACTGACCAATCAGCACACAGCAAGAACTCAGTGCTTGAAACCCAGGTCCTTTTAATTAAAGTGGTGGTTTACAAATCCTGTCCCAGCTCAAAGTCTCCGCCCTGACATGGAGTATCTGGTCACCCCTCTTGGACGCAGTGAGTCCATGTTGCTAACGGTAACAGAGAAGTGTGTGAGTGACACCGGCCCTGCCCTGTCTCTGCCTCCAGTGCACGTCATGCAGCAGGTCTTTCAAGAAGCTCTGGGTGTTGCACAGGCACCTAATGGCCATGCACAGCCTTCCGGAGAAGAAGTTCACATGCAAGCTATGTGACAAGAAGTTCTACACACTGACGCATGTTCGCAAACATATGGTCGGTAGGTGAGGCCTGACTATCACATGTCTGAAAACCAAAACACCTGAATCTCTTTCTTGCTTCTGTAACCAGCCTTTAACCCATTGCCACTAGTCTTACCTGCATTGTGTCAAACTCGACTTTGTTACTCTGGTCACTTAGCAAATGGTTTAATTTACAAAGCTAGTTAGCCTCCAGCTCTGTACAGTCATAACTGCTTTTCTGTACTGAAGAAGTTCCAACCTTGTCACTCGTGAACAGACACCCAGTCCAATACAGATTCAAACTGTCCTAGCAGTGTGCTATCAAGAAAAATGTAGCCTTTAAATAAGAGTATTTTTAATGACTTTGACTATTTAAAAAAGCATTTTACCTGTTATTTACATTTAATTAGCAGAGATTTTTATCCAAAGTGATGTACAATTTGTAAAGTACGGTTAGCAAGTCTGTGGAGTAACTGCCTGTGGGCAGTTGAAATTTAAAATCGTTTGACGTGATTTCAGAGTAAGTCAGGAAATTATCTGCCACGGGCCATGCTGACAATCTCCTGTCCCAGTAACTCCTGTCATATGTCTTCCATGTTCCCAGCCTGTAACCCCCTCTGCCCTGTGACCCAGCATCTGATGTTAGCTGTTCTCTCCCCCTATCCACCTCCTCTGTAATGGATTTCCGTCCCAGAGAATATACCCCAGCCTGGAAAGGGCTCCAGCCCCCCCCACCCCCAAACCACCAACAGCTCACACAGAAGACATGCCCTTCACCTGTGAGATGTGTGGCAAATCCTTCAAGCGCCGCATGTCCCTGAAGGTTCATGCCCTTCTGCACTCTGGGGAGAAGCCCTTCCCGTGTCAGGTGAGCCCTGTGTCATATAGCCTTTATAGCACTTTTCCCTCAGCGGTCCTCGAACCCGGACCTGGAGGCCCTTACTCAGTATTGTGATTATTCAAGCCTTTCTGGGATGTACCACAAGACTGATTCCACTAATAACCATATCAGTACTCCAGTTGATTTGATTATTTTTTTTATATGCTTTGTAGATATTGCAAAAATTACTATTTAACTGTACAATAGCCACAGAGTAATCAAGCAGAAAGAAATCTTTACTTTTGCCCATATCAGTATAAATAAGTCTTTGAAATGCTCAGAGAATTTGAGAAGATCCGAGTTTGTCGTGGTTAGCATTGAACTCCGGCTTCTGGCTGACATGCATGTGGTGGGGCGGTGTCAGCTCATCATAACAGCTCACGGTAAGGCTGTGGGGGGCATTTAAGGCACTGGTCTGTTATGGAAAGCTGCCGAATTACAAATTAAACATTGTTATTATTCTTATTGACTCATTTTCCATTCGTATAAAACCTATGTTTTTGTTCTTAAAAGGCTGGTGTTAATAAATGTTTCCAGAGAGGTTTGTAGGGGAGGTAAGTGCACTCGGGGTGACTCAGACGCAAAACGGTCATCTACCATCAGCGTTTCCACCAGGATAGTCATCCTTGCCCCATGACGGCACAGGTGTGATGGTAATTACCTGCACTGTTTTGATTGTAATGTGGAGACATTACTTCAACAGTGATATTAACAGTGTCTGGTCCCAATGTGCAGTATCATATATTACTGTCATATAATGTTCCCATGAAGGTTTCGGCACAGGTCACAGGCGACTCCGGGCTTTTCTCCTATGGGGTGCGAGGGGAGAGAGGCTAACCAGTCATTCATTCAGATAAATGAATTTATAAAAAAAACATAGCAAATACATTTGGAATCCCGTCCTGGTTTATTCCCTGCCTTGCGTCCGTAGCTTAAGGGATTGGCTCTGGACCCCCACGGCGCTGCATAGGACAAGCGGGTATAGAAAATGGATGGATGGATATGTTCAAATAGCATTTTCTTCTGACCAATAAATAAGCGGCTCAATTACATCCTTGGTAAAATCACCTGTGGTGCAGTTTGAATTATCCATAGTATGTGTGTGTGTCTGTCTGTCTCTGTCTGTCTATCTGTCTGTCTGTCTGTGTGTGTGTCTGTCTGTCTGTCTGTGTGTGTGTGTGTCTGTCTGTCTGTCTGTCTGTCTTAGCTTCCTGGCATAGGTTCCAGGTTCACTCCTTCCTTTTACTGGATAAGCCATTAGAATGGATGGATGGATGGATGGGTCTGTGCTAGACTTCAGTGCCTGGTGACATCTACGCTGCACTGCATTTGACTTTCCCTTTAGGTTTGGATTAGGTTCTCTGTTTCTGAATAACATGTGATAAACTTCTGCTTCGTTTGGGCAGCTTTGTTGGCACAGTGTGCCTGAGGCTGAACAGGATGTGAAATTCAGGGAAATCAAGGAAATTTGGCCTTTCTCTCTGCATGGCAGAACTGTGACAAGAGGTTCCAGTACAAATACCAGCTACGGTCCCACATGAGTATCCACGTTGGACACAAGCAGTTCAAGTGCCATTGCGGCAAGGACTTCAACATGAAGCAGTACTTCGATGAACATGTGAAGACCCACACAGGTGAGAGAGTGAGTGCTAATGGATGCTTACTGATGGACAAAGTGTTTTATTTTCCTTTATCATTACAAATAATTTTCCAAACAGAGCTATCAGCTCCTGAGGATATGCTCCCAAAAGATTACATTGATTGCGTTTTTAAATACGCTGTATGTTTATGCTTCAAACATTTGTTTGATCTTTCATGGCTCATTTCTTCTGCGGTCTGATGTTCTTGCATTGCACTTTCATATTACTTTGTAGAACAACTGTTATCTTGGCTTTTATCTCAGTATATGATTGATGTCAAAATGTTGCAGTGTTGCCACGAGTCCCTTCTATCACCTCTTAGAGAAATAATGTCATCAACAATTCAGCGAAGAAAAAATCAAGTAAAAAATTCCCCATTCTCAACGCTAGACTTTTTGTCATGCAGACATTTTTCTGACGATTGCAAAACCTAAAGATGCAGAACTTACACCTCTGGATTATTATTAGAGGCAAACTATCCATTCTTGATCATGGTGGGGCAAAGTGAACTCTGGAATACACAGTAAACATTTGCACACAAAACACCTTTTTATACATTGCAGTCTGCTGTGTTATTGTGTGCTTGTTTGTATAGCTGCATCCTGGTCCGAGGTTATGCCTGTCAGGTCAATGTATGTAATAAAACACGTAAGCGACATATGTGAGATGGAAGCAAGGTAAGGGCCAAGGTGGTAAGCCATGGGAGATGCGTGCTTTGTCTACGGCATGGGCCCCAGGATTAAAGAGGGATCAATATCAACAATGGGACCAGCACGCCAGGGCAGTGGTTAATGTGGTCACCTCACATCTCTGCAGACCAGGGTTCCATTCTCCACTGTGTGCAGATAGTTTGCATGTTCTTGCTGTTGTTTGGTTTCCTCTGAGGTGAATTGGAGTTCTCTGACTGTTTATGAATGGTATGTGTGCCCTGCAATGGGTTGGCACCTCATCCTGGGTTATTCCCTGCCTTGTGGCCATTGTACAATGTCTTGAACACGTGATGCGATCGTGCTTCAGTACAAAAGGAGCATCCGTGAAAGGCTCAGTTGTTTACAGGCAAAGATGGGTCAAGGCTCACCGCTCTACGCAAAGCTGCGTGAGCAAATAATCCACCAGCTTAAGACTGTTTCTTGACATACAATGCAAAGGAATTTAACTATTCTATTCTCTACCATGCATAATATTATTAGATGATTCAGAGAATCTCTACTGTTAATAATAGAGGTGTGTTTTAAATAATAATAAATATCAAGTGAAAATCTCTGCGACATGATACATGTGATGTCAAGTTAAAGTTGTAGCATTGGAACGTAAGGTTATTAGTCCCTAAGGTATTGCCTATTCATGATCTCATAACTGACTTAAGTCTCATTACCTTATGCCTAACAGAAATCTGGTTTAAACAAGACGACTTCATAGCACTAAATGAATCTGGTCCCTTTGGATATGCTTAAGAAAAACCGTCATCCTGATTACCAAGGTGGTGACGTTGCTGAATTTGAGTTGAATCTAGAGATCTGAGAAGTTGATTTGCAGATTAAACACATTTTAAATCGTTGTTCTTAATGTTGCTGGCTGTTGTAATTCTTCTTTATGATTTACTTTTGTCATTGTTCACAGAGCTTCTGGGGTCTCTATCACCATGCCGAATTTCTTGCTTACCTAAGTAACTTGTCAGATTTAAGGTAACCCAGTTTAAATGGACTTTATCTTCATTCACTTGCTTTTAGCCAAGGTTACCTTAAATCCGACTAGTTATCTTTCTAACCCAAGACTCCAGATTCGTGAGACAATCCTCTGTTATTTTAGTAGTTTTAAAAAGGAGTTTTCAGACTTCCTGACTAATCTATTCATTTGCTCAGATAAAGCTTTAATTGTTGGGGATTTTAATATTGATATGGTAAATACTCTTCCATGCTTCATCCTGTGTAAAGTAATAAGGCCTACTTAGATTTTTTTCATGGTATTTCTGTGGAACATCTATCTGTTCTTCCTCTAAATCCCTCTCTCTCAAATAATTTAGTTTTGAGGTTTAACTAAAGCTTGCTACTCAGTTTTGCCCATTCTATTACTTCAGTAATTGCGGCAGCCTTCCATAGTCATTCTCCCTGACAGGTGTGGCCTCTAATGAAACTGAACTTGAACTAGCATCTATAAATACTAAGCATTTTTGTAGTAGCTGTGGTCTGTTTGCTTCATTTAAGAAAAGTCTTATGAAATGTACAGCCTGACATATTGGTCATAAAATTTAAACTTCACACAAACTAATGTGGCGTTCGGTTATAATACTCCAGTCCTGGAGGGCCGGAGCCCTGTGTAGCTTAGTTCTTTCCCTGTTCCACCACAACTGATTCAGCTCAACAGCTGTGTGGTAATTAGCACAAGGAGCTGAATCAGGTGTGTTAGATGAGGGGAAACCTAAAAATGTGCAGGGCTCCGACCCCCCAGGACTGGAGTTTGACACCCCTGTATTAAAGGTTTACAAGACTGTCTGGTTTGGCCTCATTTGATCTCTCTTTAAGAAACCAAGTCTAGAACCTAGTGACTATACAAATTTACAAGTTATCACTAATCTACCACTTGTCTCAAAGATCTGGAAAAATGATTTGCTATTGAACTTTCTTCTACAGGAGAAGGGCAATTCATTATCGCCTTAGACCCCATCACAGTATGAGTATAAAAACTGCATTTGTGAAAAATATATCATGACCCCAAATTGTGAATTTTTGTCTGTGGTGGTCCTGTTAGATATAAGTGTAGAATTCAATACTGGTGACTAGGATATTCTTTTGCACTAGCTAGAATGCTCAGTCGGTATTAAAGGGCAGGCCCTCTCCTGGTTTCAGTGCTGCTACCAGGCTCTTCATGTAAACAGCCATTGCCCTGAATCCACCACAGTAAAGTATGGTGTCCCACAAGGACCAATTCTAGGCCCATTATTGCATGGTGTTGGGTTGATTATGTACTAGAGACAGGATTTAGATTTCGATATCTGAAGATTTAAAAATCCGCTAATGAAATATGGGCCGATTTTTTTTATTTCATATTTTTTTCCCAGAAACACGTAGTATAAACAAAGATTTTCCCTAACATTTGTTATGTGTAGTACTTTAGAAGTCCTCACCAAGCTAACATGACATTTTAAAGATGTTTTATTGTCTAAATAGTACTTTTGGACAAAAACACGACAAAATATATTGAAGTTTTAATTGATAAGAGTGAAATGCATAAAAATACAAGCAAAAGTTTCTGGCATTCGAAAACACATGTTGTCAACAGGGAGTTGCATTGTGCCCTCTAGTGGAAAAACATTGCAACGACAACACTCATGGTTGAAGGATCCATCTTCCATCTGTTTCTTTTTGTCATTTATTGTCTGTTATAAAAGCCAGTCCTGATTTATCTGCAATTAGCTCATATTAGCCGATGATATCGGCACGCTGATTTATTTGTCAGGCAGATATTATGTACACCAATATGTATCATTCAAACCAGGTGAGCTGTCAACAATTGAAGACTGTATTATACATTGTAGATATATGAAGCTGGACAGCCAGTAACTACTTCTTAACACAGATAAAACAGAAGTATTGTGAGTTGGTCCTTATTGACGAAAAACAGGGTTTTCTGATAAATGTAGGACAGTGGTTAAAAATTCTGATGTCATAGTTGAATCTTTCGATGCTCACATACAAAGTGTTGCTTGAACAGTTTTCCTCCATCTGAGGAATATAGCTAGACAAGGAAGATGCTGTCCATCCATAATATGGAAAAATGCATGCCTTTATGACTTCTTACCATAGCACTTAGTCATTAATGTTACAGTCAGTGCTCTTATTGGGATTTCCTGTTGACTTCCTGATAAGCTTCACATAGATTTGAAGCTATTACTCCTAACCCATAAAACTCTGGTCTACCTTACTGCAGGTACTCGTCTGATCTTTTAGGCCTATACAACACCCCTTGCTGGCTTCAATTTCAAGGGCAAGGTTATCTGTTTCCAGAGTGGAAAGGACTGCATTTGGCTGCAGGGTATTTTCTTACCTAGCTTACAGACAGAAGTCTTCCAGCAAGGAAGGAATCAGGCCCAGTTTCAAGCTTTTTAACTCTGGGCTAACAACTCTTGTTTCGTTTAGCTTATACTGCATTCCATTTACCTCCAAGGCTAGAAGTCGGAGCAGAGACTGACATCATACCTGAGTTAACTGCGTTCCAGAACAGCACCTTGGAAAGCCATTTAGCAATACCAGGGACCTGTTTCAGGAAGTAGGATTTCTTGCTTAGCCAGACAACTTGTCAGATTTAATTTACCCCAGTAAAAATGGCCTTTATCTTCGTTCACTTTCATTTAGCCCAGACTACCTTAAATCTGACAAATTATCCGGCTAAGCAAGAAATCCTGCTTCCTGAAACAGGCTCCAGTTCTAGCCCGGTTATTTGTTAGCCATTGTTAGCAATATCAGTTGATAACACATTACATGGTATTTTGCACAAAAAACACGAAAGTGCTAATAAACAGTATAAAACTTCAGCTTTAACTTCTGTTGATAAAGGGCACAGCCATCTTGAATTCTGAGGTCAGGGTTGTGTAGATTCCTCCTACTTTTATGAGTAGGAATTCCGACTTCAGGGGGGTGTTCCAGTTGAAATTTCCAGGAACTTGGAATTTCCGAGTTACGAGTTCAAATGGAATGCAGCAGGAGTGGGCAATCTTATCCAGAAAGGACTACTTTGTGTGCGGGTTTTCACTACAACTCCATTATTAGATGACTAATTAGACGACTGATTAGATGAAGAGTCCTCACACCTGGGCTTGAGCAGCTGACCTAAAGGTTAACCCAAAATCCAGCATACATACCGGCCTTATGCGGACAAGACTATCTACCCCTGGCTTTGGGGGGTACTAGCTGTCTGTGCAGTCAGTCTTGCTTTGCCGGTGGCCTCATTTGCTGCTGGAGTGCTGGGATTCCTCATGCCTGCGTTCTCACCTGCCTCTCCAAAGCTAGACCTACCAGAGCTTGCATGTCTTGCATTGTCAGTATCCTCTTCCTCATTTGCCAATGCACTTACCTTATTCCCTCCCCTCTCTTTGGTGAACCAATTGGAAGCCTAGATACAAGGGCGTTCCCTGCCTTCCCAATGGCCAGACATGTCTCTGCCTACCTGTCTCTTGCCTGTTCCAAACTACCTACCTAATCCACCTCACCTGCCTGCCTCACTGCCAGTATGACTACCTGCCTAACTGCGCTATCCTACCACCTTGTACTGCCCGGTGCCAGCTACAGGAGGATAGGTTTCCCCTGATTTCTGCCAAGGTTTATTCCGCTCTCCCATTGGTGGATTCCGCTTCCTTGCCACTGTCACTTCAGGCCTGCAGCCTGGCAGTGTGTAAAAGGCAATGTTCCTTATTAAAAGTGCTCTATACTGGAAATACAATTCTATTGGATGAATTGAAATTAGTTAAGGATGTCGAGATTTTTCAGGCGACTTCTTACCTAATAAAGTAACTGCTTTTTATGACTGATTGATTAGTAGATTTATCCGCGGGTTAATGTCCAATTGCCAGCTCCCCTGCTGTGTTTCTACCTCCACTGTTTGTCTCCAGGAGAAAAGCCTTTCATCTGTGATTTCTGCGGGAAGAGTTTCACCAGCCGGCCCAACATGAAGCGGCACCAGCGGACCCACACGGGCGAGAAGCCGTACCCCTGCGAGGTGTGTGGCCAGCGGTTCCGCTTCTCCAACATGCTGAAGGCCCACAAACAGAAGTGCTTCCCGCTCTCTGGTTCTGTCACTGACGTGCTGGCCAGTGGCTGTGAGGCCCCCCCTTCACCATCCCACCCCAGCCCTACTGGCACTGTGTCTTCCTCCTCGTCTTGGACCCCCAACCCTCAGTCCAGTGAGTGGGACACTTCCTGCACCCTCCCACTGTCTCCCCCCTGCGTGGTCCCACCTTCCAGTGCCTCCACAATCTTTAAAACTGAGCCCCCCATCCAACTAGGGTATGACGGCATTACACTGCTTCAGAAGAACACATCTGCAGGCCAGAAGCACTGCTGACATTAAACTGGGGGGGGGGGGGGCACATCTTTATGGAGAAAAATAAAGCCATAGTCAAAGATCATCATCACTGCCCTGCGGAGGAATGGCATCCCATCCAGGATGTACCTCTGCCTTGAGTCCTATGGTGCCTGGGATAAGCTTCAGCCTCCCTGTGATCCTGACCAGGATAAGGGGTTCGAGGATGGATGGATGGATGGATGGATGATGGATGGATGGATGGAAAATGTCTGCTGATAATAATAAATGCACTTCTGTCACACAGCGTTAAAAGACCTCCTTGAATCATCCTGTATCCACTATGATTGTGAACTGTAGTTTACGGTGGTTGGGGGCAGTCTCTTTTACAAACTCTCATCAGACAATGTGGAACCATGCTACCTTAGTCCTACCAATGGGCAGGTCTCACAGACTTGGGCTGTCATAAAACGAAGCTTATTAAAATTATGTATTTGTATTGTGCTTTGGGAGACTTTCATTTCAATGAAGAATCATAATATAACCTGATAATTGCTCCTTGTTTCCATCTGTCCTTTTGGAATAAATAAATATAATTTGTTCAGGCAACTCAAATCCCTCAACAAAGTGAAACCTCAGTCCTTGCCGCAATAACGATGCTGATACCTATCATTTGTGTTTCATTTGGTTTGCATCACGGAGGTGTGGGATGGGGGTTGAAGTGGTCTGTCAGCACTCATACTTCTTTCTCATGGGAGTTTTAATTACACAAAAATGTTCTGAGGGCAGAAGCAAAAATGATTGGTTCAGCGAGATAATCAGATTGTAGAGGAGTTGGGTCCAAGCAACTAGAGGAGGCAGGACCCACCTCCTCTACAATCTGATTGGTTATCACTCTGATCCAATCATTTTTCCTTCTGCCCTGAGAACATTTTTCAGTTCTGAATATAATACATAATGTAACCTGTATTCTGTACGGATCATAGCCAGAAGAAACATGTTGCCTTGATCCAATTTTTACACTAAAAATAAATCCTATTCATGTGGTGTTGGAGGAAAAACAGTACTGACAAACGCAAGTCTAAATAAACTAATTAAGTTTGATCAACCTTGTTTGTGGTTGTATGCAATAATGAATCACAAGAATGCAATTGTACACGTCTGACGCAAAATCCAGTAATGACCAGTCACTTACTCCTAGTGGTTAATTTGTTGAGTCCTCACGGGAGATTAGATTAAATCTGTGTTTATTGTATCATAACCGGCAAACTTCAGACTTTAAATGCTGGATCATAGTGCATTTATTACTTTGGGCATTGATCAATGGTTGCAGTTAAACTGTAATTTAATGTGTTTGTGTTTGATTCTGTTGTTTAAGTGGACCCATTGACTACAGTAGAATTACTGAGGGTGAGTTGCATAGCTCTGAACTGTGTGGACACTGCACTTTTCCAGTTTCACAGACACCCTCTTATGGGTAGCTACATCTCAATGTTACTCTTCAGACCACCGTAGCCCTTGATTGGGGATCCTTTGAATCCATAACCAAGCTCACAAAAAAGTGATTCCTTTCCCATTCATGACATTCTGAGCATTGTCTTTACAGAACCTTGATGCTGTTTGTAAATGGGTGACTTTTTTGTGGTTGTGTTTTCATGTTAGATCTGTTGCAGTGTCGCTTCGTGTCTGGGAAGGAGAGATAGAGCTCCATATCAATTTACATCTCTCAGTCATAGTGATCTGTCCACTTGAGACCTGTGTTAGCAACTGTTAGATGGGCCATTGGCTCAAATTTCTCATTTTCACTTCTGCTTCAGCATTGCTTTTGGGAGAGCGAGACCAGTCAGCTTGTGTGGGTATTTCTGGGTGAATGAATCACCGGATCATGCATTTAAACAGTACTATGCATATATCAAAATTCAAAGGAAATGTTTAAAGCTATTTAAACATTTGTGTGTGTGTGTGTGTGTGTGTGTGTGCATGCCCAGATGTTCCCATGATAAAAGCCTGTTATTTTGATGTTGTGGGGACCATTTTTCTGGTCCCCATAAGGATAACATCAGTTTTATAAAAATTGGTGACTGCAAGCAAAAAACTAAAAATGCCAAAAGTCTTGTATTTTGTTTGGCTACTTATATTTAAGGTTAGGGCTGGGTAGGGGTTAGGGTCGTCATCTTTGAATTTTGGTGTTTCACATATAATTGAATGGATGGTCCCCACAAAGATATGACTATAGGTCTGTGTCTGTGTGTGTGTGTGTGTGTGTGTGTGTGTGAGAGAGAGAGAGAGAGAGAATTCTCTGCACTCCTTTGGTATGCTGTAAAGTGTGAAAAATTTGCTTTAAAAAAATAAATGTATTGTTATATTTAATGTATGTATAATTTATACCACTGGATGTAAGATGTAATATATTTTGCAGTATCTATGCTGGTACCTTGTACATAGCATGAAACTTTTTTAATGATTTAAAAAAAAAAGTAAATACATGTTTAACAGCTAATGGTGTATTACTGAATAAAACCTAGTCATAGGTCTTCAGCATTTCCTGTGTTTGTTGTCCTTGAATTTGAAGGAAATGACTCATTATGACTTTGCTGTGTTAGCTATGTCTACTCATTGTGACTGCCTGCTATGCTGAAAGCCTGTTGGTACAGTCCTTATTTCACAAAAAGCCTTCCACCGCCCTGATTTGCGTAAAGGCTGGTAACTTCCCTAAGCACTTTCAGCTTTGTGTGTTACTACACACTCCTGTTTACCTTACTTGCCTTACTTTTTGGACTTTTGAGCTGATGAAATGCATTGGACCTGTTATCAGCATTGTTGCTAAATGAAGGCCTGAATCCAAAGGGCTCATAGGTGCGGAAGATTTGTGCTTTAGAGCTGATCAGCTTTGTCATTTTGCTTTGTCAGGTGTTCAGCTTGCTGCACATAGCAAAAACGACAATGTGTGAATTAAGTGAAAAGGACAGAGCATCTAAGGACCGCTTTGCCCATGTTGGCAGACTTGGCTTCATTAGCAATACGTTTATAAATAAAGTTAGCTTTAGAAATCCCATTTTCACCCTAATTATACTATGACGTTTAATGACTGTTCATTTTGTTACAGTCAAAGAGCTATGTAGCAACAAACACAAAAAGTGCAACAGGAGGCCACATATCAAAGTCATAACAGAAACAGCAATGTAAAATTTAAGACAATCTCAGGGAAGAAGCAGAGTACACAAGGCAAAGGGCGATCAAATTGTAAAAAAGCTTTACAATTATCCCGCAAAGGTATAGCAGTGGGTCAAATGGTTGTTAAAACAAGATATAATACTTTTTAATAGCTTTTGTTATGGGACAAAGACTGACATGTTCTAACATAACTTGAGGCACATGTTGAAGCATTTAGTGACTATTATTATTAGGTTTTATGGTGTCAAATCACATTGTGAAAATTCTAAATATGTGACCCATCAACTGTGCCTTTTTTGGCAGTCTGTTCCATGAAGTTCAATAGCTGGTAGAGGCAACTGTGCTGACTCATGTGCCATATTAGTGTCTTCCTAAAATGCTGTGCGTGACTCCCGTTCTTGGCAAGCAGAGTTGTTTAATGTTTGATCATGGCCTGGGACACTCTGACTGGCCCTGTCCTGTACGAGCCGGTCCGATTCTTCCTTCTGCCATAGAAGCCTAGACGTGTTATCTTCTCTTGATTGCATAGAGTAAGACTGCATCAGCTTCTGATTAGCATAGAATGGGGGCCCAGTAACACGGCTGTGTGTGCATCTATCAAAGAGCCAGCGGAACCCCATAGTCGCTCAGAGTTTTAGGTGTGTTTCCACGTACAGCGAAATGAGAAGGGAATCACTGATTCATGGTGAGGAGCTGAACAAATAACGTTAGACCTCGCAGAACCCCGACCCACGCTGGCACTTGTAGTCTGCTCCTAAAATAACTGCCCATCAGGCTGTAATTTGAGCTGCCCCTGAACAGCATAGTCACTCGTCCTCCAGAAAAGAGAGTGTGAGAAAGAGACAGGTACACTCAGACAACACAGGAAGATACTGCAAGCAGTTCCTCGAAGAGTTGCGCAGTTTGCCGACAGCTTCCAGATGAAATGCTCCCATCTAAACAGTAAAGCAGGGCTTCAAAGCAGACTTGCTAGTGGCTGTTGTAGTACTCTGTACATCTCCCACTCAGACAAAGCGCTAACTTCTGGACAGCTGCCTCAGGCAGGACTGAATGTGCAAGAACACTCCATAAAGGCAAAACCGCTTCCGTGGGTATCTCCATTATACAGAGCAAACTGTGTTTTCATAGTGACTACAAACAAACAATGCTAGTCGCATGCAATAAACAGGCTGCAGGAGGCTTCCTTCTTTATACTATCTTCCCTTCCTCTCCAAACTAAGTAAACTGTGGCTCACAAACACAGCTCACTTATGGATGCAAGCAAAATGGAGTACAAACGTTTGATACCATAGTTTTAAATCGTCATTAAAATATACTTAGGTTAGATCAGATGAACTTTATTGATCTCAGAGGGAAATTCTTGAGCATGCAGCAGCAAGTACATTGAGCACAGATGAAATTACATATAGTGCAAAACAGACAAGGTGCAAAGACGGTACACATAGTGTAGACAAATGAAAAATTACAGTGTACAAACACAGTCCTGAAAAATAATATTATGGAGCATTAATGGAATAATAAACATTAGGAACAACATTATTAATAATAATAATAAGAAGAAGAATTACATCAAATTAGCAGATGGTGAAAAACAGACAACACCAGCTATATTTTAAAAAGTCTAGAACTAAAATAATAATAATAATAATAATAATAATAATAATAATAATAACTAAATAATTGAAATACTAGAAGTAATTAAGTAATACAAACCATTTCTAATTCTGACCAACTAATTAACTAGTTCTGATCCCAACACCCTAATATTCACACAGAAAAACGGGCAAAAATTTGTACATTTGCTTGTCACTGGGGCTATACTCTGGTAATTGTACCTTTTAAAGTGCAAAAAATGGACTCTGAGGAACATCCCAAAGGTACAAACAGCAATAATGTTCAATCAATGGTACAGAAATGTTCCTCAGAGTCCATTTCTGTAGCTTAAAAGGTACAGTTTCCTACAGCCAAGGAAACTGATTTAGAGTAAGAATACTTCTCCAGTAACTGTTTGTAATGCCATATTTTAATATGTTTAGTTATAGCGATATTAGGTTAAGTATATACATTTTAATTGAAGTACTTAAATGACCATCAAAAAAAATAAAAAATCAGCGGCTTTGATAATAAACGCATGACCACAAAGACCCTTTAAGTAGTAGGGATAGCAGCGCGCCTCATTGGCCCGTTGCCCCAAGACGTCATCGGTACAGCCCCGCACTGTGCCGCTTTGACAGTCCATATTACAGGGCCGAAAATACCCTGTTCCAGCTGGAGAAATATACCCGTGTCCAAGGTATGGATATTCCTCAGTGATTTCGCACGAAAGAAAAGTGAGTGATTTAAGGAACAGGGGGTTTCTTCGTAGCTTAAACCGAACCGGGACAAAAAAAAATATATCTCTCTAAATGCACTTTTCTCCTTGTGCGTGTAGTGTAACGGGACTGAAATGAATATTATGGCTAATATGTTAGAATGTGTATTTTATTCAGCTTTGTTTTCCTCCTTTCTTTCTTTATTTCTTTTTAATTCCGCAGTTGTCCCGGACTCCGCAGTTCTGGGATTAAGGCTGTTTTATTTAGGGTAACTATAAGGATTTATTTATAATTTATACCTATGATTACATCAGCGTACCGCTTTAAAGTTCATTTATTTATTCATTAAGTGCGCTTTAAAAAGCGGGGTACAACATTTACAGGCTACCTCTAATCCGCAGACCCAGCTATGCGGGTAATTGCGGTACAGGCTGAATTAGCTTACTGCAGTGACCGCTACCGCATTGCAAATTGTCCTCACACAGTAATGGCATGTCTGACCACACGTGTCCGCCTATACGCTGAGCCGGAGTGGCAACTTTTAAAAGATTTTCGCCCCTTAATAGCATTAATATTAGCACATTTTAGTAATGTTTCATAATAAGATAAACACGTGTATCATTGGTTCTGATAATGCATTGAAGGTGTTGACATTTCCATTCTGAAGCAGCGTTACTGTCCCACTGTCTCTCTTTCAATAAACTAGTATCAGTAAAATATATTTAGGCTGTTCGAGATCTATTGCATTACATCTTGTAGTAAATTTTTAACCTATGTGCTATTTCGTTTCCATGCAATATTTATAATCTTATTTACTCTAATAAGTAACGTACGTAATGAAAATGAGAAGCGTGCTTAAAATAACCTTGACCAGATCGAGTAACATTGCAGTGTCTTAATGTCATTGTCGGATTCATCTGTGATCGCTTCACGGTTTTTTTATGTACCCACCTTTTCAGTGTTCCCTCACTTGATGGAACTGTGTCCTGTGAAAGCGGCGACGCAAGATTTTATTTCGACTCTTTCTGTCTGAGCCTCGGACTCCGCGCTCAGTACCCGGCCGAGCGGGTTAAACACTCCCGGCGACTGCAGTCCTGATGATCGCGCTCGTATTTATTTGCCGAGGCTGCTCTCGTGTTCCGTCCAGTCGCCACTTCTTTACCTTACCGCAGTGTGGCGCTCTAGCTCCGGAAAGTAAAAACGGTTTGTAACCTTACCGGCTTCAAGTCGGTTAACGTCCAGTGGTGTTCGTTTACTGCTAGAAAATTGGGCATTGCGGTGTTTTATTTCGTCCCATTTCGTGGCCTATCCTTTTAAAATCTCCCTTTTAAGTTTTGAGTGTATGGTTGCTTGTGCATTTTGGTTCAGACTCTTAACAGTCTGGAGAAGGCAGATTTAACACTAGGAGTCTGGAGTATTTCATCTTTACAGTAATCTAGAATAATTTTTAGTTGGTCATATAAAAAAATAAAAATTAGACTTGCTATTTTAAATTCATACGTAGACGCTAATGACATTAATTTAATTTGTACAAATGCAATGGTTTAATTTCTCTTCAAGAAGCTGCAGGATAGTAGCAAAAATGACATTTTCTATCCACCCATGTGTTTTGAATAGTTATATGTGAATAGATCGGGTTTACAAGGGTCACTTTATTAATGCTCACCCCTCTGGAGGAAGTCAATCACTCAAATTTTGCCAGGGGGTGTGGGGTCCCCTACGCAATAACTTTTGCTGGGATGGTGGTTCCTATGATAAATGTTCCTGAGCAATATATTTTGCCGATTTGTGGTGGTGGTCCCCCAAAATAAATTTTGCCGGCTCACAGCCATTGATCCATCAGTACATCAGATGGATAGCCCTGTCCTGCCCCCACCCCTGTCCTGCCCCCTGCCCTACCCCTGCCTCCTGCCCTGTCCCCTGTCCTGCCCCCTACCCTGCCCTTTGTCCTGCCCCCTGTCCTGCCCCCTGTCCTGCTCATCTCCTGTCCCCTGCCCTACCCCCACCCCTGTCCTGCCCCTGCCCTGCCCTTTGTCCTGCCCCACCCCTGCCCTCTGCCCTGCCCCCTACCCTGCCCTTTGTCCTGCCCCCTGTCCTGCCCCCTGTCCTGCCCATCTCCTGTCCCCTGCCCCTTGTCTTGCCCATCTCCTGTCCCCTGCCCCCTGTCTTGCCCATCTCCTGTCCCCTGCCCCCTGTCTTGCCCCTGTCCTGCACCATATGTCAGCTAAAATACATTTACAGCTAGCCAAGTATATGGAGCATATATGTTCATATTGAGAACTTGTGTACTCCATCTTCAGTCTCTGTTCTGTTTGTGTCCTTATCCCTCACACGATTTATAGATCTGGTCTTCTAGGCACCACATGAAAAGGAGATGTGTCAGAAAGGGGAGAACTTTTAAGAGAATGAAATGCATTTGTGCCATGACAGAAGCTGTACGTTTCGATCCTCTCTCTAGGCGAGGTCTCCTTGCATTCAGACAGCATGGAGGACCAGAGCGCCCCCAGTGGCATGAGCTCACGCTTCCTCATCATCTTCGACTTCGACGAGACCATTGTGCACATGAACAGCGACGACGCCGTGGTGCAGGTAGCGCCAGGGAAGCAACTGCCCGATTGGCTGAAGGACTCATTCCGTCCGGGACACTTCAATGAGAACACGCATCGCGTGTTGGCCTACATGGCGGAACAGGGCGTGTCCGTAGAAGCCATCCGCTCGGCCGTTGAACAAATCCCCCCCTCGCCTGGCATCCTCAAGCTTTTCCAGTTCCTTCAGGCTCACCCCCAGGACTTTGAGACGGTGCTGGTATCCGATGCCAACATGTACTTCATTGAAGCGTGGCTTCATAGGGCTGGCGCACGCCAGCTCTTCCTTAAGATCTTCACCAATCCAGCCAGTATTAACACCAAGGGCCAGCTGCAGCTTCTGCCCTACCACTCTCACAACTGCCCCAGCTGTCCAGACAACATGTGTAAGCAGGTGATTCTGCAGGACTACCTAGCACGCCGGACTAAGGAGCGCGGGTGCCCTTTCCAGAGGGTCTGCTATGTGGGAGATGGTGCCAACGACTTCTGTCCCTCACTGGCCCTGGGGCCCAGCGACGTGGCCTTTCCGCGGGAAGGCTACCCCATGCACAAGATGATCACAGTGACTCAGCAGGGCGAGCCTCCAGGTTTCAAGGCTGCCATGGTGCCTTGGGTCAGCGGTGAGGACGTGGTAGCACACCTCAAGAGGCTGGTGGAGGAGAGGTGAGGGAGGGGTGCCTGGCGGAGGAGGTTGCGGGCGAAATCAAGATGCTGCGACACCTCCCGCGACACCTCCTGTGACACCCCTTCCCACGGTAGCGCACAATCAAGCATACGGTCTTAGCTCAGAGAACCCCGGTGCTGGAAGATGTCATGCTGTGTGAGGCGTGTATTCTTTATGCTGTGACCTCTAACCCCAGTTGCCTTGAGAAATCCACTCACTTTTTCTTTTTTTAAAGTAAAGTCAACGAACCCCGGTACTGAACTACAGACAGAGAAGAACCAAGGTCAAAGGTCACAGGGCCAACAGAGAGAAATCAGAAACTCCAGTCTGACTTTCAGACCGGGACTCTTTTCTGAGGTTGTCAGCTGACTCAAGGGAAGAAATCACACTTTTCTCCATGATTATTTGACGTTCAAAACTAAAAAAACAGATTTTAATTTACAGTTTTTTTTTTTTAATGTAAGGCTTCAGACTTTAAACCTTTGAACTTGAAACACGCCAGTATAAAGAGTATGTTATAGGTATAGAATTTATTATGTATTGCGTCATTTTTAATATATCACACTAGCAAGAACCCCTTGGAAATATTTCTCGTCATTTTCAGACTGTGGAGAATGACAGATGTGTGGATTTGTTTTACATGTGTTGCATGAAAGATGTAAAATTATGCAGGGTAATTTAATCTGTTTATTTTCAACACTTTATGCATAATTTTGGTGCTATTTAACCTACCCTGGGATGGATTAGAACATGTATAACATTTTTATAAATTATATCTAGTGTTCTGTGTCCTTCACATCTTAAATGTGTAAATTTGAACATTCTTTGTACACAGTAAGTTAATTGGCCCCATCTCTGTTGGATTAGGGCAAGGTGGAAAGTGGAAATTTGGAACAGCTGCCATTTATTGACTACTAAATGAAAGTATATGCAAGTGTGCAAGTATTTAAATTAATATATGAAACATACATATAATTTGAATTATATAAATTATATTAAAATGTAATAAATATTATATATACATATATAATTCACATTCATGCACTGTTCATTTTATTAGGAAAAGCTGTTCACCTGCTCATTCATGCAATAATCAGCCAATCATGTGCCAGCAGCTCAGTGTATAAAATCGGGTAGCCAAGAGCTTTGGGTGATGATTATATCCAACATCATAGTGGGGGGAAATGTGGTTGTTGGTGCCAGATGGGACGGCTTGAGTATTTCAGTAACTGCTGGTCTCCTGGGATTTCAAGCTGACAGGAGGGCTACGGTAAATCTGGTAACCTCTCTTTGCATGACACCATATTTTGAGCTGGATGGGCTACAACAGTAAAAAGTTACATCAGGTCCCTGTCAGCTAAGAAAAGGAAACTGAAGCTACAGTGTGCACAGGCTCAGTGAAACGCGACAGCTTGTTGCCTAGTCTGATGAATCTTGATTTCTGCATGCAGACGGTTTGGCGTAACCAGCATGACTCCAACCAATGGATTCAACCAGACCTCAGTTGTTCAGGCTGGTGGTGGTGTGGTGATGTACTGTAACGATGTGGTGGATGTTATATTGGTACACATTGGGCTGCCTAATAACAATCAAGCATTGTTTACATGCCACAGCCTACCTGAATATTGTTAATGACCATGTGCATTTCTGTACGGCCACAGTTTACTATTGGCCATTTCCAACAGAATCTGAAACCAGTTCCATGAATATGACAAAGAGTTCTGTGTACTTCAGTGGCCTCCCCAGTCGTCAGATCTGAATCCAGTGTATTGCTCCTCTGGGATGTGGTGGAATGGGAGATTCTCAACATGAATCTGCAGCTAAAATCTTCAGCAATTACATAATTTAACTCAGTATCATATTAACATTGCCCATTTTCCTGGTTAGTAACTAAAACACTTTTTGAAAACGTCTTATATTGTTCTACTGATGTTTTTTTATACAGCAATGTATCATTCTGAATTCTGAATCATTCATACCAGAGAATAACACTATTTTATACTGATGATCTGACTGGAAAATCAGTTCAGTGTTAATAAGGGTAAGGAAGGGCAATGGAGACATAAAGTATTAAATCGGCAATGTTGAGCAGCCCGGGGGAAGTGTTTGATTGAAGCTGAAGCTTCTTGACCTATTCTTTTAAGGAGGCCAAGTATTTTGAAATATCTGACATAGTTATTATACTTGTATTCCGAATAACTTAAATTGAAACTGTACATTCAGTTCGTGCTGTCTTCATCCATATCATAAATGACCTGAATAATTACATTCATAAGCAATAAAGGGGAACACAGTGTAAGAGAATGTAACGTTGAGTAAGTAACTACTTATTAACTACAGGCATCCAGTCAGTTAAAGAATTAGTTTTGTCACAAAAATTGCTGTGGGTGTTCTGATTAGTCATTGCAAGCATTGGCCTTAATCCATGACTTCATTTTGCAATTTTATGTGAGAGGATGATTCACACAAATGTTAGACATTTCTGGAACAAATGAGACAGGCTCTTCTTCCAGCAGCCTATACCTAGAATTGATCAACGATATTAAAAACATATATAAAAAAACAACAACACATGATTTAAAAATAACAAACAAAAACCTTTCCAGTTTAAATTTTTCTGTGTATTGTTTTTAATGTAACACATTTTGTATGCCAAAACAACATTATTCGACACCTCCAGCTAACATTGTTTTTTTTTTAAGTTTCGTTGTACACATTTATTTATATGAAGGGTCACATATTTTTATGAGATTTGACAGTGGATGTGAAGACCTGTATCCAGGCAGGGGACCGACATCCCTGTGGGACCAGAGTCAAAAAGGGATTCCCCTGTAGTTTCTGACCCTATATAGATTCAGTAGATCCCAGAGATCCTGATGAGTTGTGTATTTTGTTAAGCTCCTGTATTCACTCTGACCTCTACCTTCTACCCTGGGCTTGCTGGGCTTGGTTATAGGCTCATTGTGACCATATACTGGGTAAGTGGGTATGGATGATGTATTGGTGGAACTGCAATCTGGAAGGTCAATAGCGGAGTTTTGCACTTGACCCAGCTATTAAAGGAAACCAGGAGGGATTAGATGTGGGACCATACAGACAGGATTATGACAAGTCTCACAGCAGTGTGTTGAGTAAGATACAATAGCACTGACTGCTTGTCTGACCATAAGGGGCGGTTGGTGCAATATTCTAGACTGCCATAGCCCGGACTAGGGGAGGGGAAAGCTTAAGATGTGTTTATGCTGCAGTGATTGAATTGAGCTGATGCCAGGACCAGCTCAAGCTATAGGCAGAATAAACAATATAGCCTAAGGCTCCAGAATTAGTAAAACATTTCCTAAGGACCCTGCATTTTTGATTTTCTCCTCAGAACACCAGGAACGTTTCTTGCATACAGATCCCTCTCACAAGCTGCGTAAAAGTCTGAATAACATGGGGGGCACTGGCATGTGTTTCTTTTCCCCACCTGAAGTACATGTCGTGATAGATGATGAAGCTGCGCTTACTGGGTTTCCGTTACATATAGTGACCACTAGATGGGGCCTGAACTGTTCTGATCACCACAACAATTACCGTACACAACAATTTTTTTCACGAGTATCCTATTTAAGGTAGTCAGGAAGATAGCCATACTGAAATCAGTCTCTAATTAATCAAAGGAGATTTACTTTAAATATTTATAGCACGTTGTTGGAGCATGGCAGGAGAGTAGAACAGCAAGAAGAAATATAATAGGTTATCCCAAATTCCTACAGACAGTGCAGAGGGAATAAACTCTGAGAAACAGCCTTACCCTTATACCAGGGCCAACAGAGGGGCATGGACACCCTGGCAGATTCATCCAGCACTATAGGGGCTCCTGGGTAGATCAAATTATGAATTATACACAGCAAGGAACATTATAGAATAAAATGCTATACACTGTTACACTACGGACAATGTTACCGTGGGGAACAGCCCTCTCCCTGCAAAATTTCATCATCAAAGGGTGGCATCCCATATTTCTTTGCAAAGTGGCAACCCTAGCAGAGAGCCTGAGGCGAGATTTTGTCAGGGGGTACTGATACGCCCCCACTTACAGCTAATAACAGTGAAGACAAAAGAAGACTGACCTAAGAAAGAATGGACACTGCGCACCTCACTGCTTGGTAACACTGTGTCACACAGTTGAGAGAACAAGAATAGCAGAGGGAGTATATTTAATCCTTAACAGCAGACAAGCAATACTGTGCAGGAAATGGAAATCAAATACTTCATGTTAGGATTACCATTAGCGTGTGTACACCCCCCCACACCAGATGGGTTGACCAGAACTGCGTAGGAGATACATGAATAGGAACAAGAAATAATACTGTGCTGTTGGATGAACTGGATGAACATTGATACAAATGACATGAAAATCCATTAATTTTAATGGTGATATTATATCACCCAAGTGAGGTACTAAGACCTTCCACTTAAGTGCTTAACATTTTAATCTACTTCAGTCTGTGTGCATTGCGTGTTACATGATAAATAAGGATTGTATCTTGCTAAACTGTTTTTGCATCATTAACTAAGCATTCCTGATTTGTTACTCTTGTGCAGTAGTTACAATTACTCTGAGGCTTTAAGTTGGCTTAGTTTTGAATCTGTTAACTTTATCATTTAGTTGAATCTACTGTGATCAAGTCTGGCTTTTATGTTCCAGCCTCACCACAACCCTGTACTGGACGAGTGGTCGTAAAGAATGGTTGAATGGAATTTTGTTTCCTGAAGTTTGGCCTGAATATGCAGAAGATGCTGTTTGGAAACATCTGCAGCAGCTACACCATCAGCAGCAGCTACACCATCAACATCATCCTGATGAACATCATCCTGGGGCCTCCTAAACTGCACATTGACTTTTAGAAAGTCGATGGATTATTTCTGCAGCTGGCATGGTCAGGTATTACTGCTTTTTTACCTTGGTTATCTTTGAGTGTTGAGTGTCAAGTGTTGAGTGTTAAATTAAACATAGGCAGTAGCTTTATTCATTAGTTCTTATTTGTATTTTCTGTTGTTGATTTGAGAGTCTTTTAATATTGGGTTGCAGTGTTTGGTGTCATATTTCCAGTCACCATCTTGCTTTTTCCCAGGCTTGACAGGCCCAGCTAAAGCTACGTTTAAACTAGACCTTGAACCCACCGTTACAGATGGCTGCAAAGTCATCAAGCCATGCCAATTTTTAAAATAAACAAAATTATTTTTCTATAATTTTTATAATTGCCATACTACTGTCATATAGAAGCCTTTTTTGTAGATTTATTTAGTCATTTCTGTTTGTCCAACAATGGATCCATGCAAGTGTAACACGAGTTCATTTACTGGTGAGGTATTTTTAGTCTTTGTTTTTGTGAGGTATTGTATGTTTGCACTGTACTTAGTGGTAATTTCTTTACCCTGTTTATGACTGATCAGTTGAAATCTCTGTATTCCTGTTCTTAGTGTCAAGCCTTCAGTTTGGATACTTTCTCCATTTTACTGGACCCGAAACATACTGCCTGTTTTAACTATGGATTTTTGGAGTTTGATTCTTCTTTGTATTACCTTTGTTCTATGACTTACTGGTTTTGTTTCAAATTAAGATTCATTACACTTGACTTTGCATTACTTATTGCCTACCTGGTTATATGAACACATAGCACAATTGTTCTGACTAGACCTCCAAGATATGTGCTTAATTAGACACTCTTAGAGACTTTTCTGAGACAAACCTGTCCCCTCCACCTCTGTCCCTATCTTCTGCTTTTGAGCAATAAGTAATAGTGGAAAATTTGATTAGCATCAACAGCTTATTATGACAAATGATGGTTTAATACCTGTTGGCTTGAATAGAAATACTCCATTCATTCCTCCCTCATAGATGTCCCTCACTAACACACTTGATAAGGCACTCAAAAGAATCAAGTGCCCTTCATCACGTGGCATGCATCAGACACTATGTCTCGTTAGCTATCAGGACTGAACATGGCTGAACAGAAATGAGGTGACAACCCACTCTGAGACAGAAGGAGTTTAGTTTAGTTTAATTAAAAACAAAACAAAACAAAAGGGAAACCAGAAAAGGACCACAAGGGGTCAGAACCAAATAATACACACAGAACCATAAATAAACCTTCAAAGGGGACCCAGCAACACAGGAAACAGAGCTTAGAAAACAGGCAAAGTAACAAGACTCTGTAACATGAGCATGACTGACATGCAGGAACATAGCACACAAAGACAGACTAAAGAACCAAGCCAGGGCAGGCACTTAAATACAATAGGCAATTGGGCTAACGAGAGGGCAGGTAAGAAATGTAAGACAATTAACCAATCACTGAGGACGTAGGACAACGAGCAACAAGTGGAACAATTAACAAGCACTGGCACTGGGAAAACTGGCAACAGGTTGGGCAAATTGACAAAGAGCAACACAGAACCAAACAGACATCAAAGTAGCAGACATTAATTTGACACTAGGGATACAAAGTAAAGCTAATCACAGGATCAAAAGGTGCAAGACAAAGCCAGAACAGAACACAAGGAGGGCAAACAAAGGGCAGGAAAACTAAGACAGAAAATAACCCCTGGGGGAACAAAATCCGATAACAAACAAGTGAAGTTGGTTCCCAGCAAGAACCACACACTCAGCCCACTAAGCTATGCAGCAATTCAGGAAGCAATGAAAACACGCAAGGTTTTAAGGGTACACAAGGGAGAGGGACAGCAGGATGACCAGTGACGCCTGCTGGCCAAATGGGGAAGGGACACAAAGGGCGGAGTCAGACAGCGCCAGCCCAGACAGGGTGATAAACGAAAAGTATTTGAAGGATCTTTTTCAAATTTTGTAGACATGTTGTATGAGTGAGGAATTGGAACTGATCAAAGTTTGAAACAACTCACCCCAAAATTGGGGGTGAGTTAGTAGTGGCAAAGGGTGACTGCAGATAACATTTGACCTTGTGAATGAGATAAGTCAAAAAGTATTTGAGAAATTGGTAGCACTTTGCCTGACTGGGCACAAATACTTAGCATTAACTCATTTACTACTGAAGTACAAATCATAAACAAATACAGTTGCTACTTGAGAAAATGAGTCATGATTCATTAACGATGAACAAGCCTGAGATCAGTATTTCATTTGTGTTATTCATTACTTGTTCCTTCAATAGTTCACAAAGGTTTTAGAGAATTAAATATAGTAACAGATACACTAATTGCTTGATAAAATGTCATGATTCATTAATGATAAATTAACATGAGATCAGTATGTAACTAAGACTTAGTTTGTGGTTAATTAATACATAAGTAATAGTGTAATATTGTAGTATTTCTGCCCTCAAAGTGTTACCGATTAATCATATTTCTGATTAACAAAAAAATATATGGATGAAAATCTACATCTGATTTCATTTTGAGACAAACTGCCCAAAATATTAAGCAGAAGAGCTATGTGGCAGGAGAGGAAGGAAAGAGCAGCTGTTGAAGATATTGGTCTTGTGAAAACAGTAACTCTAAAAGTGTCTGTCTGTGGCCAAACCAGTCAAAGCACAAGAAGAGCTGAACTATTTAGCCGAGCACAGGAGCCTTTTAATTTGAAAGTAGCTTGTAAAACCCGAAGTAACTCAAAGTGTCCTCCCTGACATGGATTATCTGGTCACCCTAGAAATAGAACATAAATATTTAGACATATGAAGAACATAAAAAATCTAGATGTCATTTTAAAACATGCACAGAAAGATACCGTTAACCACCTAAGGGGCGGGGAATGATGGTACAAACTGGCATATAAGTGGAAATGTACAATAAATGAACAGTTATGTGTCATGATAAGGACCCAACACATTTATTGGCTTTCACATTTCCACTTGATCCATTCAGTTTTGCTAGAGATTATAGAGGTTGGGGGTGTGGGATGAATAAGGAGTAAATGGGGGGAGGGGGACATTGATGTGGTTCAAAGAGCTTCTTTTCTAGCTTATATTTTTACTTTTTTTTGCTTTGTTAACCTCAGTTTCAATATCCCCTGAAGCCACAATGCTGTGGGTTAATTCCCAGTAGCCCCAAAAGACAACGCTGCCCCCCAGGTCTCTATAAAGCTAGATCTTGTTTATCTATCTCCAGCAAGAGATCCACCGCACCCTCAGTCATAATAAGAACCTCAGTACGGCACCATGTGCTCCAGCTGGGCTAGACCTTCACAGCCTTGGGCCAGTCAAACTTACCCAGCTAGGGCAACAACTCCGTTCATGCAACACTGAATGAGCAGAGCAGCGCTGACTTGCTTTTAACCTTCAATGTAAACAACCGACGGGTTAAGTAAATGTTTAAGGCTAAAACATACTCACTGTACAATATACGTTAATTATGGCCATATTCAGTTTATATAAACAGCTATATTGTACTGTGTACAGTTTTGGTGACTATAATCTTTATATTGCGGGCAGTGGTGGCTTGATGGTTAGGGAAGCACACTTGTAATTGAAAGATTGCAGGTTCGAATCCCCGACCAGCAAGGCACCATTGAGGTACCCTGAGTAAGGTACTGCACCCCTGGTGCTGAATTAGCTGCCCTCTGCTATGTCACGAAAGTCACATATGGGTCAAATGTAGAGGACACATTTCGTTGTTGTGTGCTGTGGTGTGTTGACAATAATCACTAAATTCTAATATTGATTCAAATGTATTTAGAGTTGCAGAAGAGGATACCATGCAATACATTTTCCTTTAAAAATATCCTAAAACACCTCATTTTAAGAACTGTTTGTCAAACATTTTTGGATATTCCTCCCAAACCTTACAAATTAATCCAGAATAATTTCCTGACCAGCAGTTTAATATATATAGGACACAAATACAAGACGTTTGCAAATGTGTGGGTTGGTACAATGGAAAAATGTGAGAGGACTTATTGGAGAGATATATAGCCTATGTACAACTCACCCCTTAGCAAATATCCAAAGAACTCATTGGCGACTAAACTAAAATTTCTTTTAGAAAGTTGTTAATGGTAATTTGTTTAGAGGACATTTCTGCAATAGCTTATATATTTGCAATATCCTTAAAATAGTAAGCCAGCTAAGTTAGCGCTACATTTAGTGACATCATTTTTCCTTTAGCTTAATGCATTTACCAGTCTGTGCTACCATAAACAAGTCAGTAATGCAGCCTTTTTATTGTTCGCTCAGATACTGCATAAAAGTGAAAATGACATCATACAGTTTTGTCGTTTCGTTCGGTATACAAATTATGTACTGCATCTGGCCAAATATATATGTCAAGCTTGAGGTAGAATATACTTCCTAAAATCATTTTTATTAAGTTATACTTTTATATTGATAGAAAATAGTACAGTAACTGTATTACCTTCATTCACATACCATTTCTCTAAACAAGATGTTTCTTAACACACAATGATAATATTAAAGGCATGGAAAATATACCTTTTTGTGCTTATTTATGTTAGGCCTACTTAATGAAAAAGTCGAAAAGTGTGCTGTAATGCGTTTGCATAAAAACACATTTTCGAAAAAAATCTATTAGAGTGGGCGCTAGGCTGTCCCAAGCAGCAGGGCTGGACCCGCCTCACATGGACCGAAGTGTCATCGGGACTGACAAAGCGTGTTCCGTCGGAGGAATTACCATCCCAGATCCAGTGAAGGGTACAAAGGGAGCGCAGATATAGGTGCCCCAAGTGAGAGCACGGCTAAGCACGCCCAGTCCGGCCGCCGCGTCCCATGGAGGGTGTCCGGTCACCGCTTTCGCCCGAAGCTTTGGAGGTGAGTTAATCGGCATGCGGGGGCTGCTGGTGCGGGACTGGCGGGCTGGGTACCAGGCGTGGTACCGGCGGGGTTTAGGCGTTTGTTACATGGGTGCGGGGTTTAAATATAAAGCGGGAGAGATATCTTCATGGAAGGAGCTATTTGTTTCTTTTTTATTTTTGTTTTATTGGACCCGAAGCGTCTGCAGATTCCAGACGTGGATCGTTTTATTAGCGAAATTAGCAAGTTAGCTTCGCTGTCACTTTCGTGAAGTAAAGAAAAAAAATTAAGAAAAAAGTACTGTTACAAATAACGGTGCACTTAATAGAGAGTTAGCAGTTATTAATATTCCGATGGATGCGGCGCTAATGCACCCAAGAGAGCGCGAAACGCTTTTAAAGCCACCGGATAACGGCGGAGTTTGATGGCAGAAAGACCGTGACGGACCCGCATAAAACGGAGGGATAACCGTGACCGAATACAAGACGGCTATATAATAATAATAATAATAATTATTATTATTATTATTATAATAAAGGAAATGCGGACTCCCCAACTTCTTTGGCTGTATGCCAGTTAACCAGCCAAAACTTTACACTCTGAAAAAAGGTTTATGCTCATTCAGACATACCTTGGATTTGATCATCTAACATGTTAAACTGTGTAAAAGTAAAACAACTGCAGTTTTAATGTCGCAGAAATAATCGTGAGCTGCCCGGGTTACCAAGTACGCACTTTAGTATTTCTCGTAAATCTTGTTTTCATGCAGTATTATTATAAGTAAGTCATTTTGCACCACTTAAGACAAAACCACCCTCACCGAATTGCACTGAAGTGATCCATAAAGTCTTCCAAGACGGGTGTTAATAACTGTCTAGTGTGGAGTTCGTACACATGGGTGTGTTTTTTGTGTTTATCTTTCCTATATCGACGGTAAACCCACGTCAGTACGATACAACTGCAGCTGACACAAAGCAGCCCTCGGCTGATTCCGAGTGGTGAAGTGCTACCGTAATGTTCATTTCCAAGTGCCTCCCTGCATTTTTGTGGGTTGTGTGTTCAGATGTAGCCGGCAGAAGGCAGTAAGTAAGTGCTAGTTCTGTCATGGTATCTGGAGGGATGGAAATTGCCCTCTGGGCACAGCATGGAAGCAATGATTCCATGCGGCTGCCAAGCCTGTACCCAGAGCGCCCATTCATGAATGATTTCTGTAGTACATAGTCTACATACGCTTTTGTACTCAACTCTCATCTGTTCACTCTGAATTTATATTTCGTGCTGTGTTTTATAGGTGTTGAATTGCTTGCTTCTTGCTTTCATCCTGTCGTTACTGTTGTGTGTGTTTGTGTGTGTCTGTGTGTGTGTGTAGGTTTGCATAGATCACATTTGAGGACCAAATTGTCCCCAAAGTGTAGTAAAACCTGAAATTTCCCTACTTTTGGGGACATCTTTTGAGGTCCCCATTTGGATAACTCCAGTTTGATAAAAATCTGTGAATGCAATCAAAAAAGTAAAAATTCCAAAAGTCTTGTATTTGGGTTGGTTATTTATGGTTAAGGTTAGGGCTGTGTAGAGGTTAACCACTGCGCGCTGTGACTTATTGTCTCGCGATCAATAGAAACAAGGCACCGAACCTGGCACAGAAAACGAAATGGAGGAAAAACTTATATTGTCCGTGTCTGAGTTCCCAGAGCTATATCACAGAAGCATAAAATCTTTTTGAATGCGAAATATACATCGTCGCTACTGACCGCGAGCCAAAATGACTGGAGAGAGTTTTGAAAACCACGCCTACTCTTTGCGCAGAAGCCTCGCAGCGAGCACAGCGCATGCCGCGTTCGGTCTGTAACCAGCTTTACCCTATTAAGGACCATATAAGCCCGATTAAGGTAGGGTTGGAATGAAAACATTCTGGCAGGTGGGTCGCCAGGAACAGGATTGAGAACCACTGGGTTAATTGATACATTAAGTAAGAGTGTAGTACTAAATTATTTGTGCCCCTTCCAGTAAAGTGTCACCAGATGTCTGCCATAATATCCTCAATGACAAACTTTCTCGGGTCTATAAAACATTGTCTGAAATATTTGGCTCCTTTATATTTGTCATTGATTGGCAGTTTTTGACTATATCATTAGGGCTGGGTGATACATCGATAAAATATCGTATCGCAATTATGAACAATCATATTGTCATCCGTTTGAATATCATGTGTTGTGATATAGCCTAAACACTTGTTTTCTTGCATAATTAACTGTTATGAACACTATTTTTACACAAATTCCATCAAGATATGAGTCTGTAGTTGGTGTAATTTATCATTATACCCGTCACAGAAGTATTAATTAAACAATTTGGTCATCATAAAAAGAAAAACTCTGATCTACCTGTTATATTTTACTATTTTCTATAATTTTCAATTTTAGAATATTGTGATAAATATCAATATTGTGAAAATATCAGAAAATATTGTGATATCATTGTTAGCTCATATTGCCCAGCCTTATTCAAACTCCTTCCTTGGAACGAACAGCAAAGTAGTCAGAAATAAAGCTAGCAACCAAACGTATTGTCTAATGTTACGCCCTATAACAAAAAAGTTTATTTTCATATGATTTATTCATTAAAATTAGATTTCATTTTGCAGTCCATTCAATTAGTCACCTTTTTCATGTTCTGAATCAAATTAAGCTCAATTTTAAGGGAATTTTAAGCAACAATGGATCATTGAAGTAACAAAATAATGACTTGATTTGTATCAAGCTTAGGGATGTCCATTTTGGATTTTTTCGTAACCGATAGCCGACAATCATTAATTGACTATTAACCACTAACAGATAAGAAAAAATGTAATACTTAGAACAGATGTAAGTTCGGCACTGAATACCAAAATAACAATACAAAAAACGCTTTAGACATTAGAAGTGCTTTATTTTTTTCAAGTGTAAACACTTCATGAATTTGAACTGTTTCTTACTTCATAATGCATTTTTTAAGTTCTAAGTACTTTAATGGTAGCTAAATAGATGGTCAGCATAAACTCTCCAGTGAGACCTATATAATCAATACAGAAAAAATGGTTAATTTACCACTGAGGGTGTTTATTTGACAGCTGTTTGATGTGTGCTGTATAAATCTCCAGATTCAGGTGTAGTTTTTTTGTTCTACCATTCAGCATTTATGATTGATTCTTTTTGCTGTATAGGTACTGTGGCCAAACAGTTGTACATAAAAATTTCAATGGCCTATAGAGGCTGGAGTCAGAACAACATTCTGTACAAACCCATTGCAGTATTTTTCAAAGTGATTACAAATTCATTGCAAGTAATTACCTAAATGGAGCGCTCCATCCACAATGAAACTGCTACATTAACCTCACTGACTGCTAAAGCAGTTTTTTCTTCTTTAATTTACTGTGCTCACTCAACAACTGTCAGGACCCGTATACGGTCAGAAAACTCAGGATCGGGATTCTGACAAGACAGTTGGATTGTTCGGAATACATTTTCGAGTGAAACTTTGTGTGTTTGGCTGGAGTGGGACAGAGTTTCAGCTTGGGAAAGGGAAGTTGGGGTGGACATTTATTGTGTGCTTTGAGTGTTTTACTGACTGTTTCTGTATACAAATGGTTCAGAGGTTGCATTCAAAGAAAAAAAAAATGTTTCCGTTTTCCAAAAATGTGGAAAGTTTGATTGACCATGTAAAATTTTCTTCTTAGTTCTTCATAGTCTTGCAGGCATTAAATATAAGCTTTTTATGGTAATCATGCATTAGTGTTCCATTTTAACTTAAATCCAACCATTTTCTGAATCCGCTGAATCCCATTTTAACTTAAATAAACATGTAAAAAGACTGAGATTTGCGGTTATAATAAACAATAGGTTAATATAGACTCATTTTTTAAATTAGTCCGGGAAAACCAACTATGATATCAGCTAAGTTGGATTTATTCAGCGGCACTGTTGAATTCTCAAACCTGATAGGTCAGAAGGGTGTTGATTAATTTTCTATAACCGCACCTGTAGTGCTAGACAGGCGGATTGCAGTAGTAAATCGATGCACTGTTAAAATATTTCATTCTAACTAACGTTGCTTAAAATTCCAGATGTAGAACACAATTTAATTAACAGAAACTAAACGGAAATGTGTAATCATTGGTGGGTAGTTCTACTAATAATTGTGTTTTCGGCTTATAAACATGAAAGTAATGTCTATGGATATAAGCGTGCAAGCGTGTAGTAACCGTGGTGTAAGCAGGTTATTGCACTCCAAACTCTGCGTTATATATCTTTAAATGCACTCCGTGGAGGGAACTGTACACCGCTGTGAGTGTTTAAAAACATATAATACACAGCTTGTCATGCATTAACCCTTCCATAATGTATTTTCCATCTTGATATTCAAAGTGATTATTTAAACAATGGAATTGTGTGTGTGTATATATACTACTTAGTCTGTCATGTCTAAGTATAAATTAGAGGTGCCCCCTCCATGGTATGCATGAATATAATTTCTGGATAACATGAGAGTATGAAAAATTAGATGCCTCTCTCAAGCGTAATATAAACTTCTTTAAAATGTATGTGATATTGGTCAGGACAAACTGTTGTGCTGTGTTTTGAAGATGCTGATTTTTGGGATCTAGCACGACTGCAGGGTGTTCTGACCCAGAAGAAGAGGATGTGCTGAACCCCGTCAGGGTACTTGGACAGACACCAGACAGTAAACAGTTTCCATCATTAAAGAACATAGGATCCCACCTTGTAGATTTTATTGGCACTTGTATTTAGAGTTTCCACTGTGAGTTCTTTTTTCCATTGTGTGAAGAAAAATAACCATGCAGGGAACAGCAGATAGACAGATTTTTTTCAGTTAAAATGATGCATTATTTGAGTGCTCAGAATTGAGGTATTGCTTTCTGATCTTTTCTCTATACCTGCTTGCACCATAGTGTGCAACTGGGTCTTGCTTCTGTGCCTGTATGTGTATAAGGTCTGCCTTTCAGCATTAACAGACCTCCT